TAGATCTGGTGACCCAAATGCAGTGCAATCAATGTTAGGTATTAATTATAATGCAAAATCAAAGATTTCTTTTTGAAAATTCATTTACAACTAATAGCTATGCGTCTTTTTATTTTACAAGTGTCCTATCTATTTCTAAATGACTTATTGCATAAAGCCTTGTGGTCAAATACTCTTAGATAATTGGTACATGGCAAGTATTTTTATATGTGGCATTGATTTAAAAGATTATTTGACAAATGGCCTTGCTAAGCCAAGTGTCATTTTCGTGAGATGTGTTGTCATCTTGCATGAAAGAAAATTGACAAGTAAGTAAGACACTTGTCATGAAACTAAACTCATTTTCATGCTATAAGTAGAATGGTCATTAGCCATCATATGAACTCAACTCTTAACCAAGAATTCATCTTGCTAATCATTACTTTCATCCTACAATATTTTAATTTATGTAATAACTACAGATTAATTCCTTCATCTGTAACTATCCAACAGCTTTGCCTATAAAAAGGCAGTCTTCTTTGTGAATTATCCAACATAGAAAATACCTTCATCTTCTCTTCTTTCTAGGCAACTATTTTGTGCAAATTCTAAACTTCCAGTCACGAGTACACGCGTTTGGAGGTGTTGTGGAACCTTAGGGAGCGACCGGTCAAAACGATTTGCACCCAGTCGCAGTGGCTTGCCACGATACTGTATTTTTGATAAGTTGTTCTTCTTTCCTTCTTGTTCTTAGTCAATATTATTTACTCATTTTTCTTACAATTTGAAAGCGATTTTACATATAATATTGACTAATGGCCATCACTTTGAACAAAATACTTCCTGATCTCTCAAAGCTTGAGCCTTTATATGGAAATAATTATAAGCGTTGGTCCCAGAAACTTTTAATTTTCTTTGAATAATTAGAAGTTGATTATGTCTTTTTTAACGATCCTCCTGCTGATATTGTTATTGATAGTTCTAATGCTGCTAATATTGTTGTTGCTGATGATGCTGCTAAGAAGAAATTTGAAAAGGACAATAAAACAGTGAGAGGGCATCTGCTTAACCATATGACTAACCCTCTCTTTGATTTGTTTATAAATTATAAATTTGCTAAAGTCATATGAGACAGTTTGGAGAAGAAATATGGTGTTGATGACGAGGGAAAAAAGAAGTATGTAGTTGAAAAGTGGATCGAGTTTCCGATGGTTGATGATAAGCCAATCATGGAATAGGTTCACGAGTATGAGAACTTGACTATTGATGTTTTGAACGAGGGCATGAAAATGTGTGAGATTCTTCAGGCTAATGTTCTGCTTGAAAAGTTTTCACCTTCCTGGAGTGATTACATGAATCAACTGAAACACAAGATAAAAACTTAACTCTTCAAGAACTGATCAGTCACTTGAGGATTGAGGAAACAAACCGTCTCAAAGATGAGGAGTCTCAACGGCTTAAGGATAAGTGAAATCTCTCTCTCTCTTAATTCTTCTAAAGCTAACCTTGTGGAATCTTCTAGTACTTTTATGAAAGATAAGTTTAAAGGAAAACAGAAAAAAGGCCAGAAGAAAGGACATGTGAAGAAGCAGAATTACTTCAATAAGGCCGAGGGCCATAATCAAAAGTCGAAAGGACCTTGCTATGTCTGCGGCAAAATTGGTCACAAGGCTTTTCAGTACAAACAGAGACAAGTACAAAGCTCAAAGAATGGAGAAAAAGCTCCAGTTCAAGCTAACCTTACTGAGGGTGGTGATGTCATTGCTGCTGTGGTTGTTGAGGCGAACATGGTGGCTAACAAGACTGACTGGATACTGGACACAGGCGCTTCAAGGCACCTTTGCGCCAACAAGGAGTTGTTTCACAACTTTGAGGAATTTGCTGATGGCGAGTGTGTCTACATGGGTAACTCCACTACAGCTGGAATTATGGATAAAGGAAAAATTCTCCTTAAGTTAACTTCTGGAAAAACCTTAGCCTTGAACAATGTTCTGTATGTACCCTCCCTTCGTAGAAACTTAGTTTCTGTGCGCTTCTCAACAAAGCAGGTCTTAAATTTATTTTTGAATCTGATAAAGTTGTTATTTCTCGTGGGGGAGACTTTGTTGGTAAGGGTTACCTTAGTGGGGGTTTATTTGTATTGAACATCGCTCAAGAGATTAATAATAATGCTAGTACTTTCAATTCTGCTTATTGTCACAACCCAAAATCGACCGTTGTGATGGAGCCTATCGTGAAACTAGGCCAGCCTCAACTTAACTACCCAACACAACAACGATAGATTTAAAATATAAACGGAAGCATTTAACATCAAAGAAAAATTGTTTGAAACATAAGAAAAATCCCAAAGTGAAACAATCCATCCCAAAACCAGGGTATCACTGAGTACATGAGCATCTAGATCAGAATACAGTCTAATACAACGTCCAGAGACAAAAACTGAAAGTATGACAAAGATAAAGAAGGAGAGTCAAGGCCCGTGAACACCATGCAGCTACCTCGATAGTCTCCAAACTCTGGAATCCTCAATCAATAACTGCCGCTATGACCGATATCGCCTGGATCTGCATACGAGGTGAATGGGGTAACGTGAGTACACCAACTCAGTAAGTAACAAGTCCAAACTTTAGACTAAAAGGTAGTGAAGAACTCAACATCAACAGGTATAACAGAAGTAAATGTGCAGAAACGTAGGCATGCTTTCAAGTTAAATATACAGTTCAAGTAGTAAAGTAATTACAGATCTAAACAGTGTAAGGTATACAACTCAACTAATCTCTACATGCCAATGCACAGAATTTATGAAATGCACCATGTGCTCCCACGCTCAAGTGCTCAACCACTCGGTACTGTATATGGACATCCGGCCCAGGGAAATCTATCCCGGAACATATACAACTCTGACTGTAAGTCACCTAGTACCGAGGAAAAAGGGCAATCCAACCCTGGGGAGAAATCCATCTCCAAGTATCAAGTACTTCGGACAAATCCATGTCCAGGGAAATCCATCCCTCAATATCATCCGCGCTCACTAGGGGTGTGTTACAGACTCCGGAGGGGCTCCTACAGCACAACCGCTATTATAATCATCAATATAACCGTTGCGGCGTGCATCCCGATCCTATAATTGTCACTCATAACTAGGCTCTCGGCCTCACTCAGTCATCAATCTCTCCAGTCTCACCCACGGGCTCACAATGTCATGAAAACAAACCCATAAACATGATATGATGAATCAATAACTAACTGAGACTGAGATATGATATAAAAATGCATGAACATGACTGAGTACAGAATATTAATAAAAATAATGAGATGACAGCAAGAAAACGACCACTAAGGGTCCCAACAATACCAACATAAAGCCTAAACATGATATCTAGCATGATTTACAGTTCAATTACTTTATCACATGATGAAAGCATGGATATCAATAGAATAGAGTCACTAAACGGTGCCATGGAATCACCCAGGTCATAATTCTCGCGGTGCACGCCCGCACGCCCGTCACTTGGCATGTGCGTCACCTAATACCAATCACATAACACATAACTTGGGGTATCGAACCCTCGGAGCCAAGTTTGGAAGCGTTACTTACCTCAAGCCAAGCAAAATCCTACTCCGAGATGCCTTTGCCTCTCAAATCGGCCTCCAAGCGCCCCGAATCTAGCCACAAATAATACAATACAATCATATATGCTAAAGGGATCAATTCCACAAGAAAACTACTAAATTAGAGTCAAAATCCGAAATCGACTCAAATCCGTGCCGCGGGCCCACGTCTCGAAATCCGACAAAAATCAAAAAAACCGAAATTCGATTCAGTCACGAGTCTAACCATACTAAATTCATCAAAATCCGACATCATTTGCCCCTCCAAAACCTCAAAATCCACTCTCCAATTCTCAAGCCCTAAATCCCCAAATTTCCAACTCAAATCCCTAATTAGGTGATGAATAAAGCCATGGATTCACGAAATTTAAACCATTACGGGTTAGAATTACTTACCCCAATATTTTCCTTTGAAATCCTTCGAAAAATCGCCTCTCTCCCGAGTTCCTCAAGTCCAAAATGGAAGACAAAACCTCGAGTTGGTACACCTGCGGTCCATTGGTCGCTTCTGTGATTCCGCACCTGCGAAAATTCCATCGCAGGTGCGGATTTCACTTAAAAATCCTGACCTCGCTCCTGCGGCCTCAAGACCTCATCTGGGTCCATCGCAGGTGCGGAAATGCATCGCACCTGAGGCTCCCTATCGCACCTGCGTCCAGCTGCCCACATCTGCGATCCTCGCACGTGCAGGAACATCTTCGCACCTAGGGCTGGGCATAATTTGGTAAATACCGAATTACCATATCGAAACCGAAAATTTTGGTATTTGGTATACGGTATTTTGGTATTTGGTTTAAATTTTTAAAAAAAATGGTATTAGGTATGGTATTTGGTATTTTAAAATAAAATACCGAATTACCGATACCGTACCGAAATATATATTATATTACACAAAACACATATTATCAATTATAGCATAAATATAAAAAATCTAAAATTTTACTTTCTTTATTCTCAAAGTTCATCAATTAACTCTAAACAAGTAACAAGACATTTCTAATGATCAAATATTCTTTTATGTACAATTTTCTCTATTTGGATCGATATTTGCTAGTTTTGGACAAAATTTTTGTCAACAAACATTTTTAGTTTTGTATTTTTGAGTACTTTAATTAAGAATATTAGAGTGTATGGCTCTATGCACTAGTTAGTATTCAAACCGAATAAATCGAAGTTACCGAACCGAATAAACCGAAACCGAAAGGAGAAAAATCGAACCATACCGAATTTAATTAGGTACGGTATTGGTATAGAATTTTAAGAAACCGAATACCGAAAATACCGAACCGAAATGTCTAAATACCGTACCGTACCGACCGACGAACACCCCTAGTAAAAATAAAGATTCATCTATTTCTTTCTTTCTACCATACTATTTATTATTGGAATAAAATAAAGATAGAGGCTGCTTATATATAACTTATATCCAAATATTTATAGTGCATGTATATAAGTTACAATCGTATTTCTCTCTTCAAACTATTCATCCCTACAATTTCTATCTCATATCTAATAATCACCAAAAATGGATGAACTAATATTTCCCTCGGCCTCAATTTCTCAAGAAAACCAGCCATCAACACTTGAACAGAGGCTTCAGTATATCCTCAAAAGTCAAACAAATTCTTGGGCTTACGCCATTTTCTGGCAAACCACCTCTAATAAAGACAACAATGGAAGTTTTTTCTTAACTTGGGGTGATGGCCATTTTCAGGGAAGCAATAAAGACGTAGAATGGTTCTACGTGTTGTCACTGGCTAAGTCTTATTCTGGTAATGAAGGGGTTATTGGAAAAGCTTTTAGTACAGCTTCTTTTGTGTGGCTAAATGGGGCACAACAACTTCAGTTTTGTAGCTGTGAAAGGGCTAAAGAAGCTCAGTACAATGGCGTTAAAACTCTTGTTTGTGTTCCAATTTCAAATGGGGTGCTTGAATTAGGCTCGAGTGATATAATCAAAGAGGATTGGACCTTGGTTCAACAAGTCAAGTCTTTGTTTTGTTCAGTGCAAGAAAATGGTCCAATTAACTTTCTTGATCAAAATAGTACCATTTATTTTGCTAATTTTGATTTTGTTACCGGCATGCAAATAGATGTTCAAGAATCAGACAACAACAGTAGCAAAAAGGTAGCTACAATGAGCCATGCTTCATTCCTAGATTCAGAGCTATCGAATTCAGATTGCCAATTACTAGAACATCCGCTGCAGAAAAGTAGAGTTGGATCTAAGGTGGGTTCTGAAATTATTGCTTTCAACTCTCTCTATATATATATACGATGAACCTGTCTATATACAACAACAACAACAACAAATCCAGTATAGTTCCACGAGTGTGGTCTGGATAGTACCTAGACTTTATCCCTATAGTGAAGTAAATGTAGAGAGGTTGTTTTAAGTAGACCCTCGACACGAGAAAAAATAAGAAATCGTTCTTCTCGTTTTGATGAAAAAAGTCTTCTATGAAGAACTTTTCTAACCAAACGTCATAAATGACTTCCTAATGAAAATTGTTTTTCTAGAAATTAAATGACTTTGGACACATCAAACACGTTCTAATTAAGAAATGACTCATTCTGAACGAGCTGACTTTAAATTATGAATTCGCCTCGCAGATCAGAAGGACCTACAGGAAAAGGGAAAGAAAGCCGGGAGTAGATTGCGACAAGCAAATGAACCACGTAGAGGCGGAGAGGCAGAGGAGGGAGAAACTCAACCACCGATTCTACGAGTTGCGCTCGGTGGTTCCGCAAGTTACGAGAATGGACAAAGCCTCATTGCTATCAGACGCAGTGGCCTATATCAATGAACTCAAAGCCAAAGTGGATAAATTGGAGTCAAAACTTCATAGAGTCTTGGAGCTCAAGAAGAAACCGCAAATGGAACACAATGACGCTGTGGACAACCAAAGCTCTACCAATTCGGTGGATCACGTAAGCCCTTCTCCAATTTTAAAATAGTCTAAAACTATGGATATTTTTTATAAATATAATCGGGCGGATTCACAATTTACTTTTTCTAATTTGGTGTACGTAAATTATATATAGTGATTATGCACATATAATGTATGAATTATAAGTATATTATATATTCGCCGGCTAATGATTATACACATATGATATTAAAGATTCATAGGAGTTACGTCCAATATCTCGAGGCTTACACCTCACCCCATATCAGATAATATAATTGAGCATAATTTTCAAGAATATATAATGTATATTATAAAAATATGTTTATTTAAATAATTATTTTTATATTACCTGCATGGAATATATATATTTTACAACCTTTATTTTCTTTCATTCTGAATTGTGTAAATACATTTTTGAATTTTTGTTGTTAATACTAAAATTATTATTACCATTTGAGTGACCATTACTCAAATGGTC